CTTGTCAAAGAGGGCGGATTCTCAGAGCACACCCAGCTATTAAACATCCTCTTCAGTACAAAAAGAGCATTTATTTAAGCCAAGCCAAAGTCATTTGAATGTGGGTTTTTTGACATCACAAGGGAAAAAACATTTGCATATAACAGTCTCTTGAGTAAAATAGCGATCCATTGACACCATTAGCCACACCCACGGCTGTGACGCACTGAATACTAGTGCCACATCAAATCAAAAATAAATGGAACCCATTATAATCAATGACACCTGACTACACTAAAGAGAGTAGACAGATGCCATGTTCCGTTTCTGATGTATTCCATACACTTGAGCTACTCCTGACAACAGGACAAATGGATACGCAAAGGAGGTGATCATTTTGGAATATTTGGTTTGATACATCCTGTTTAGATGGCATTTGCATTTCATTTGCACCTTCCAAAGGACCCCAGTGTTTAAAAACGTGTGGATAATTAGTGCTAACGTCATCTTGGGTCATGTGAGAGGATTTTATATTTTGTTTGTAGTATTTCATTGCCGATTGTTTTGTAAATGAGACACAATGTACTAAAGGATTTGGTAAAAGAAACTTGCAACTACTTTGCGAAGCATGAGCCATTTCAAAATGCTTTGTGTGTAAATGACAGGTTTATAAGGATAATGTTGCCAAAATATGTACTCGCATGCAAAAGTAAGGGGGAGTTGATAAATTACTATAAATTGAGTATTTTCCTTAAAGTTTATATATATAAATCAGTATGTTGTGGAATGGCATTACAACATAATTGACCTTATTTATTATTTATTAATTTTATTTTTATTTATTAGTGTTATATGCATTTAAGTGTGTGTAGTTTTTCTGTTGACTTTAAAAGTTCATTAAATCCACTGTTACTTTTCTTTTAGTTTAGTAAATGTCGATAGCTATGTTTCCATCACCCTGTTTTAATGCACATTTTGAAGTATCGCATGAGAAACGAGAGATGGAAATGGCAAATTAAAAAAAATAAATCCCTTAATTCGCAAAAAAAACACTCGCTTGAGGTGGTTTTTGACTTGTGCGAAAAAGGGTTTATGCGAATAATGGGAGATGGAAACTAGAGGTCGACCGATGTATCGGTTTTGCCGATTAATCGGCACCGCACGTGCTATTTGTTTAGACACGTAATACTGCATGCTGAACAGAGCGGGAAATTTCAGATGCGGATTTAAATGCAGCCGACAGAAAATCCTGCCACACCACAGAGCACCATTCACATAGATTTCCTTTAAATTACATTATATTGATCCCGAATCGTTGTTAATGTACATAATGAATTGTGTATTGTGCATTTTCAGCAAACCATTTGTCTTTCTGTGGCTCTAATAAAGTCTGTGTGCTTCATTTATAGAGCTATAATATAGGTCGCGCTTTCACTGTCCGTTTGACCTCTGAGGTACTTTGGAGGTCTGTCTTGGCAGCGTCATTTCCAGACTTTAGAGGGGGATTCCAACTTGGAGAAAAAACACTTCAGGGGCAGTTTTGATTTCTCTCTGTAAGACCTTCTGGAAGCTTCTAGCCCAGCGTGAGGAGCTCTCCATGGGGTGGAGCTAGAGTTTCGCACCCTGCTAACATGAAGAGCACTTCTTAATTACAGAAGATTAAAACCAGTCTCCTGCAGAGTTATGTTGAGGGCCAGAGTCTTTCTCTTCATTTTTAATAATAAACCCAGCCTCAGTGTTGCACAGTGGACTGTGCCTACACCTCCTCCTGTAGCCAAGTGCCCTTTTATCACCCCTTCCCTTTTGGCTGTTTGTGTGCCATCAGTCCCTGCAGTTTGACTCGATCTGGCATCCTCTGTGAGTTGTTCATCTATAGTGTTCCTGCAGTCTGCTTTGAATGCACTCCCGCTGAGACAAATGACCTGCGCTTCAATTCACACTCCGCCAACACAAACAAGCTGAGAAATGTAGCACTTCTTAATGAGTTTTAATTACAAATGTGATTACAGTTGAAGAAGGAATACAGCCATCTTTGTGCAAAGTGGAGCAGAAGCTTATGCATTGAAAATTATCTTCATGACTGGAGTGGATTTGGATATTGGATGTATTCTCGGTTTTCACACTTGTTTCGGTTGCTTTGCTTGAACCCTTGTACGATTCTACACCTAACCCAAATGTTTATTTGCTCAGAATGCTGATATGTTTGCTTCATTACCATGTGTATTAACAACGTTTATTTTTTGTAATTTTTTTTTTAAACCACTGTAGAAAACTGCCAAAAATATAGTTTTTTGCTTGGCATTTTAGTTGGGTTTGCTGTTTGCGCTTATTTTTGCTCATACTTGAGTGTAGTTTTGGACGAACAAGCACAACTTGTAAAAGTTGCAAAAATGTTGGCACTAATAGCCTGCAGTGTGGTTGTGCTTTGAGCGACTTGATTGCTCTAGTATCTACTTCACTTCCTAACCAGACACAATTTTAAAAAGAATTAGAATAATTCTTAAGACGTGACATGGCTACAAGACGCGACACAGCATAAAAAAATCATAGCTAATCTGAGAGCTTGTGGATGGGCTCTCTTTAGAAGCTCTCTTCATGCTGTTATTATTTATTAATTTTATTTTTATTTATTAGTGTTATATGCATTTAAGTGTGTGTAGTTTTTCTGTTGACTTTAAAAGTTCATTAAATCCACTGTTACTTTTTTTTTAGTTTAGTAAATGTCGATAGCTATGTTTCCATCACCCTGTTTTAATGCACATTTTGAAGTATCGCATGAGAAACGAGTGACGGAAACGCCAAATTTCGAAAAGAAATCCCTTAATTTGCAAAAAAGATTTTATGCTCTCTTGAGGTGGTTTTTTACTTGTGCGAAAAAGGGTCAATGCGAATAATGGGAGATATAAACGCATTTAGAGGTCGACCGATGTATCGGTTTTGCCGATTAATCGGCACCGCACGTGCTATTTGTTTAGACACGTAATACTGCATGCTGAACAGAGCGGGAAATTTCAGATGCGGATTTAAATGCAGCCGACAGAAAATCCTGCCACACCACAGAGCACCATTCACATAGATTTCCTTTAAATTACATTATATTGATCCCGAATCGTTGTTAATGTACATAATGAATTGTGTATTGTGCATTTTCAGCAAACCGTTTGTCTTTCTGTGGCTCTAATAAAGTCTGTGTGCTTCATTTATAGAGCTATAATATAGGTCGCGCTTTCACTGTCCGTTTGACCTCTGAGGTACTTTGGAGGTCTGTCTTGGCAGCGTCATTTCCAGACTTTAGAGGGGGATTCCAACTTGGAGAAAAAACACTTCAGGGGCAGTTTTGATTTCTCTCTGTAAGACCTTCTGGAAGCTTCTAGCCCAGCGTGAGGAGCTCTCCATGGGGTGGAGCTAGATTTTCGCTCCCTGCTAGCATGAAGAACACTTCTTAATTACAGAAGATTAAAACCAGTCTCCTGCAGAGTTATGTTGAGGGCCAGAGTCTTTCTCTTCATTTTTAATAATAAACCCAGCCTCAGTGTTGCACAGTGGACTGTGCCTACACCTCCTCCTGTAGCCAAGTGCCCTTTTATCACCCCTTCCCTTTTGGCTGTTTGTGTGCCATCAGTCCCTGCAGTTTGACTCGATCTGGCATCCTCTGTGAGTTGTTCATCTATAGTGTTCCTGCAGTCTGCTTTGAATGCACTCCCGCTGAGACAAATGACCTGCGCTTCAATTCACACTCCGCCAACACAAACAAGCTGAGAAATGTAGCACTTCTTAATGAGTTTTAATTACAAATGTGATTACAGTTGAAGAAGGAATACAGCCATCTTTGTGCAAAGTGGAGCAGAAGCTTATGCATTGAAAAATGTTTACAGACCATTATCTTCATGACTACAGTGGATTTGGATTTTGGATGTATTCTCAGGTTTCACACTTATTTCGGTTGCTTTGCTTGAACCCATGTGTGATTTCACTTCCAACCGTCACAGGTTTCTGTTCAAAATGTTTTTTTGTTTTTTGTGGCTCAGAACCCTGAGATGTTTGCTTCATTACCATGAATAGCCTATTAATGACAGTTTTTACCACTGTAGGTAATTGCCAAAAATGGTTCTTAGTTTCGCATTTTAGTGGGGTTTGCTGAAGTTTTGCTCTTATTTTTGCTCTTATTTTTGCTCATACTTCAGTGTACTTTAGGATGGACAAGCACAACTTGTAAAAGTTGCAAAGATATAGGAACTGATAGCCTACAGCGTAGTTGCGCTTTGAGCAACCCGAGTTCAAATCCCAACTCGTGGTACTTTACAATTCTGTCTCTCAATATCATCTACTTCGCTTCCTGACGTGACATGGCTACAAGTCGTGACACAACATAAATCAAAAGTTATAGCCAAGCTGTGAGTCTGTGAATGGGCTCTCTTTAGAAGCATGCTGCTGTTCCCCACAACAAAATGAATAAATGCATCATTAAATTCATAAATTATTTTAACACTATTTAAATTATAAACTCAGATTAGGACAAAAACTTGGATTAAAATGGAAAATATGTATTTTCTTGTGTCTTGCGGATTGTTCACTTCAGTGGTTCTCAACCTTTTTGACTCCATGACACCCCATTGTTCACAAAAATATTCAAACCCCCTCTCCTCTCCCTTAAATTGAAGGTTTAAGGATAAGGAGTTTTCAAAAAGTTTTAGTCACAATAAAATATTTTAAGGCTTGCCAAAACTAGAAAACTAGAAAAATGTATATTCATTATAAAAATGGCCATGGCGTTTTAAAATGTTCAGGTCTAGAAATCAGGCTTTTAAAATAATTAAAATGAAACGTAATTAAAAATAGTGGAAGCTGACAATTTAAACTGGTACTTCTGTTCAATCTCAAAATGGATTTGTTGTTCTTGATGCAAGTCATGCCAACTAAATGAACCCAAGCTCATAATGTTCAATGAACTCAGGTCTGCACGTGAAGCTCTTGTATTAAAATGCCCTCAGTGTAACAGTGCTTGTCTGTTCTTTCTGCAGTCGCCTACTAAAGCTGTGTATAATGCGAGACACTGGAACCAGCCAGAGCCAGAAGATCTGCTGCCTATGCCTCCATCCCGATCTCAGGCTCCTCCAGTGAGTACAACACTAAACACTACACACTCCTACACGGTCACACAACCCACTTTAGAAAGCACTTCAGCATAGGCACTTCTCATGCTATCACCAGTGTTTATAGTCACCTTTGTGTAAAAACTCCTACCTCTTTGATGCCACTCCACACATTTTTGCTCTGTTGTCTCCCCAGTGTGAGAGACAGTGAGCGATGAAAGCTTCGCACCAGAACTCGGCTGTTAAAGTCAATATGAAACATTCACAACCCACTTTATTTTAATGCAGTTTTTTTATATATATATATATATATATATATTAGGGATATATTTTATCCATCAGGAATTTATTGGATGGGATTTGCAATAGATTTTGGAGAGGATTAAATTGATTTATTTAGCCTCTACCTAGTGGGAGTTGTTACTTGCTTGGCCATTACTTTTATTATATTAACCCTAACCAGCATTAAATTGCTACATTAGCAAGGGTGTCGTGCATTTCTGCATAAATACTTTCTGCAGTTAAATTCTGCATTATCTACAACAGTAGCCTAAAACAGTGACTAAATAGTTATTTTGGGGTGTGTTTCCCAGAAGCAAATATGGTCGTAAGTTCCGTCGTTACCAATGGAGTTCAGCAGAACTTGCTACCAGAGTTAGTGTAGAACACACCCCGGGTTAGTGATAGGTGCTTTCGAAACACTGCTTCATAAAGCTTTCAAACCTTTTCAAATTTACAGTGGGTAAGTTTTTCTTTTTTAATAAATCTGCAAAAATGTCAACAATTCTGTGTTTTTCTGTCAATATGGGGTGCTGTGTGTACATTAATGAGGAAAAAAAATTAACTTAAATGATTTTAGCAAATGGCTGCAATATAACAAAGAGTGAAAAATTTAAGGGGGTCTGAATACTTTCCGTACCCACTGTATATATATTTATATCATTTTTTTTCTAATCACTGGTTTGGAGTGTTTATTAAACTGCACAAATTAAGTGATTTCAACAAACAAGGCTTTATGGTGTAACATTGCAAAACTTTTTGAACGATTTCCCTGCTAGAGGGCATTGTTCTGGTGAACTCGTGAACTGGGGTTTAATATGCTATTAACTGATCTCAGCTCAGTTTTATAATTGGTTGATAATAAATATGCATGTATAATAAAAGTCCCCCTGTAGTCAAATATTTTATCCCTTAAAACTTATCTTTGATCATCAAAATGACATTTTAAATGTTTTTTCTTGTGAAAAGAAAGGCTTTTCTCATGTCTTAAAATAGCTTGAATGTAACTCTACACCCTTGCCTCATTTACTATACGCTGATCTAAATTAGTCCCGCCTCCACTCAGTCACACCAGCCAGCACCTCCTGATCCACTGAACTGTAGTAACCGCAAAACAATGGCATACACGGATAATGACTGATAAAACTATGTTTTTACTAGCGGATAACCACAATGAATACTGTAACATTCGTTAGTTACTTACTTGATGATGTTGTGTCCTAAAATGCCTTGAAGACTAGAATGCAGCCGTTTGTGATTCTTAATTCGTGCCCGTGAGCATACGCGTTTGAAGTGCAGACGCCGATGCGTGAGAGGTGGGTCTGACTCCGGGCTACTTTTACACTGTTGCCACGGGTGATAATGCAAGTTAGCGGTTCTAAACTCACAATAAACCACAGCTTCATGGGTTTTTTGCTCTAATTTATTTTTGGTTTTGTGCTGGTATTGGTATATTTAGCATGCTAGTGATGGGAATCGATCCCTTGACGTTATTGGATTGTGACGTAGCAAACCGAGGGCTGTTTCAAACCACATTTCTGGGACTGCCATTGGGAAACTACAGTTTTAAGGAGAAAATACTCAACAATGGTGTTGATTAATAGACTGGCACATGGCTTGTTTAAAAGCATATTAAAAACACCACATAGACAAATAAAAAACATAAAAAACTTGATTTTCACTACAGGGGCACTTTAAAAAGAGAGAGTGATAATTACTAGGGTTGTGACAGTGATTAAATTTTCCCACCAGTTAATCGGCATGTGACAACACCGGTAATACAACAAATAACTTGCACAAAGTAAAAAAAAAAAATAATAATAATTATGTATGTATGTATGTATATGTATATATATGTATATGTTCATATGTATATATTTATTTATTTATAAATTGAAAATCAGCAAACACTGTGGAACCAGATAAATAGGCTATAGAATGTTTATTAGCAAAACGAACACGAAAGTTACAGCTTGATGTAAAATAAATAAATTACACCGTTTAAATAAAGTAAAAATCAGCAAACACGTTTAATAAATGCTGAAGAACTATTGTTCATTCTTAGTTCATTATCTAAAGTAGTGTTAACTAATGTTAACTAATGAACCTTATTGTGAAGTGTTACCAATATTAATATAAATTCTGTCCGTTTTCATTGTTACTTTCAGTAAAAGTGTGGTTATTTTATTGGCTTGTGTTTTTTTTTTTAATTTAGTTAAAATTGTTAAAATTAAAATTTAGTTAAATTTAAGAAGTCTTACAAAATTACTTTATATTATTTAATAAAATAATAAATAATAATTACAAAGCAGTTTCGGTTTTCGGCCAAGTGCATCCAGAATTTTCGGTTTCCGTTTCGACCCAGAATTTTCATTTCAGTGCATCCCTAGATGTAAGACTACATGTTTTATTTAATTTACATTTAACAGTAATTTACTTTCAAATGCCTCAATTGCTGAAGTGTCTGCAATACCTTTTATTACAATTTCAAGTTGCATTTTTCAAAATACCTGTTTTAGCACAGCAGTGCATACCTGTTTACATTTAATTAAGGTGGACTAGATTAGACTGTAATACAAATAGTTGAGTTTGCCAGGTGCATACAACATTTATGACAGGTTTTCATGAAAGTGTTGGTCAGTTTGTCTGCTTGACAATCCCATTTTGCACTGCAACAATAAAACAGAAGTGAGATAAACTGAGAAATGTTTCTTTTTAGTTAAAACAGATTTTGTCAAAGTTTTCCGTTGGGGACATAATTTGAAGTTGGAAAATGGTAATAAATTGCAATATATCGCAATATATTTAAAATCACAATAATATTGTATTGTGACACAAGTATCATGATAATATTGTATCGTGAGGCCTCTGGTGATTCCCACCCCTAGTAAACTGGGCAGCCTAGGTGTAGTATTTTCAGATGTGAAGCAAGTTACATGTTAATGAAAGATTCTGGAAAAAAAATAGCTTTTTTTTCTTCTTCTTCGTAATAGCTGACCCTGATAAATCATTCACCATTAAACCAGGAATGTGTATTAAAGTAAATGGTGAATTTTGATTTGCATGTTTTGTGCAAACACAGTCCCATTATGCACTTCTCTTTCAACTAGCAACCTCTCCCTCCCACATCTCTCTACATGTGCCATCCAAACACAATCAATCCCATACAACTTAGCCAGCCTGCATCTGTTACCACCAGTGAAGCACACTGTAATATGCGCACTGACAGATGTGCTTACACTTCACTTGAACTGTTTGTATGCATTCTCATTAGTGCAGCACCTCTGTTTCTACTGTACAGTTTTGAAAAAAAAAATCATTATTCATTCAAGTATGTGGTGCATGGCCATCTTAGGAGTGTTTTATTTAGCAGCATTGCTGCTCGTTGTGGATTTGGCCTTTTAGTAGTTGCTGCATGAGGAATCTATAATGTTCTGTAGCACTATCTTTAGCCATCATGTTGCATAACCAGCAGTGGCTCGGTTGTTGGCAGCTCAGGGTGTATGTGAATCAGCCCTGCAGTGCTTCCAGACATGTTATGGTTTAATTCAGAGTCGTCGTTCTCTCACAGGCCGCTTCATCGGGAGGCAGTAAAGAGTCGAACACACACAAGGACGATGGAGTGTTCAAAGCTCCAGCTCCTCCTCCCAAAGTCATCAAGTCCGTCACTATCCCCACAGAACCTTACCAGGACATGGTCACTGCACTTAAATGTAGGAAAGAACACAAGGAGGTGAGTGCAAACACTTGACAACCCTGTCTGATTTGACACAATGTAGAACCTTGCTGCATGCTGCTTCCTTTAATTCAACAAGTGGCATTTAGTTATCATTATCTCTTGAAAATAATTTTTTTTCTCAGTTCTGAAATATAATAATTGAGTAAAGAGACTGCTTACTTAAGAGATTTGTAATGCACTAGACATTTGAATATTTGGCAACTTTATAATGAAGGCCCGAGCAGGAGCCAATTAAATTTGAAAGTCAGTGGCATGGAACCAATGATAAAGGCATAAAGCTCAATCTTAATATGCATACAAAGTAGTGCAGCTGTTTTTCAAAGAATTTTGAATTTGAAAGTCTCAGTGGCAGCATATTGAAAACCCTGGGATAATTAGGATTGTTATAGTAATGCAAAAAAAGACCCGTTGATAGGGTCCAGAAATCACTGATGTTCTTTGGAGTAATTCTTATTGTGGGTGTTAAACCGTTGTTCAGGTCCACCTACGTACAACCTTCACCTCTTACTCTGCCCTCTGAATCGGTTTTCATCTAAGCTACAAGCTGTAAACTGTTTGGATTGTTTCCTTACCACTATTATATTTTTTATAACTCTGTTTCTTGGTCTTTATATTAGCTTGTATGCCTACATTATCAGTGAATAATGAAGCATAACATGCAATACTTTGCTGGCCTAGTGTACATTTCTTTGTGTGCACCATGTGGAACGAAACTTAATCTGCTCAAGACAGCTGATTTTTAAATAATTATTATTTTTAATATGACTGTAATTAGAGTAGCTATTGTTGTAGTCTGTACTGATACCAGTAAAATTGTACAATTCTCAGTACCGATTTCTACGCGTTTGAAGTGCAGACGCCGATGCGTGAGAGGTGGGTCTGACTCCGGGCTACTTTTACACTGTTGCCACGGGTGATAATGCAAGTTAGCGGTTCTAAACTCACAATAAACCACAGCTTCATGGGTTTTTTGCTCTAATTTATTTTTGGTTTTGTGCTGGTATTGGTATATTTAGCATGCTAGTGATGGGAATCGATCCCTTGACGTTATTGGATTGTGACGTAGCAAACCGAGGGCTGTTTCAAACCACATTTCTGGGACTGCCATTGGGAAACTACAGTTTTAAGGAGAAAATACTCAACAATGGTGTTGATTAATAGACTGGCACATGGCTTGTTTAAAAGCATATTAAAAACACCACATAGACAAATAAAAAACATAAAAAACTTGATTTTCACTACAGGGGCACTTTAAAAAGAGAGAGTGATAATTACTAGGGTTGTGACAGTGATTAAATTTTCCCACCAGTTAATCGGCATGTGACAACACCGGTAATACAACAAATAACTTGCACAAAGTAAAAAAAAAAAATAATAATAATTATGTATGTATGTATGTATATGTATATATATGTATATGTTCATATGTATATATTTATTTATTTATAAATTGAAAATCAGCAAACACTGTGGAACCAGATAAATAGGCTATAGAATGTTTATTAGCAAAACGAACACGAAAGTTACAGCTTGATGTAAAATAAATAAATTACACCGTTTAAATAAAGTAAAAATCAGCAAACACGTTTAATAAATGCTGAAGAACTATTGTTCATTCTTAGTTCATTATCTAAAGTAGTGTTAACTAATGTTAACTAATGAACCTTATTGTGAAGTGTTACCAATATTAATATAAATTCTGTCCGTTTTCATTGTTACTTTCAGTAAAAGTGTGGTTATTTTATTGGCTTGTGTTTTTTTTTTTAATTTAGTTAAAATTGTTAAAATTAAAATTTAGTTAAATTTAAGAAGTCTTACAAAATTACTTTATATTATTTAATAAAATAATAAATAATAATTACAAAGCAGTTTCGGTTTTCGGCCAAGTGCATCCAGAATTTTCGGTTTCCGTTTCGACCCAGAATTTTCATTTCAGTGCATCCCTAGATGTAAGACTACATGTTTTATTTAATTTACATTTAACAGTAATTTACTTTCAAATGCCTCAATTGCTGAAGTGTCTGCAATACCTTTTATTACAATTTCAAGTTGCATTTTTCAAAATACCTGTTTTAGCACAGCAGTGCATACCTGTTTACATTTAATTAAGGTGGACTAGATTAGACTGTAATACAAATAGTTGAGTTTGCCAGGTGCATACAACATTTATGACAGGTTTTCATGAAAGTGTTGGTCAGTTTGTCTGCTTGACAATCCCATTTTGCACTGCAACAATAAAACAGAAGTGAGATAAACTGAGAAATGTTTCTTTTTAGTTAAAACAGATTTTGTCAAAGTTTTCCGTTGGGGACATAATTTGAAGTTGGAAAATGGTAATAAATTGCAATATATCGCAATATATTTAAAATCACAATAATATTGTATTGTGACACAAGTATCATGATAATATTGTATCGTGAGGCCTCTGGTGATTCCCACCCCTAGTAAACTGGGCAGCCTAGGTGTAGTATTTTCAGATGTGAAGCAAGTTACATGTTAATGAAAGATTCTGGAAAAAAAATAGCTTTTTTTTCTTCTTCTTCGTAATAGCTGACCCTGATAAATCATTCACCATTAAACCAGGAATGTGTATTAAAGTAAATGGTGAATTTTGATTTGCATGTTTTGTGCAAACACAGTCCCATTATGCACTTCTCTTTCAACTAGCAACCTCTCCCTCCCACATCTCTCTACATGTGCCATCCAAACACAATCAATCCCATACAACTTAGCCAGCCTGCATCTGTTACCACCAGTGAAGCACACTGTAATATGCGCACTGACAGATGTGCTTACACTTCACTTGAACTGTTTGTATGCATTCTCATTAGTGCAGCACCTCTGTTTCTACTGTACAGTTTTGAAAAAAAAAATCATTATTCATTCAAGTATGTGGTGCATGGCCATCTTAGGAGTGTTTTATTTAGCAGCATTGCTGCTCGTTGTGGATTTGGCCTTTTAGTAGTTGCTGCATGAGGAATCTATAATGTTCTGTAGCACTATCTTTAGCCATCATGTTGCATAACCAGCAGTGGCTCGGTTGTTGGCAGCTCAGGGTGTATGTGAATCAGCCCTGCAGTGCTTCCAGACATGTTATGGTTTAATTCAGAGTCGTCGTTCTCTCACAGGCCGCTTCATCGGGAGGCAGTAAAGAGTCGAACACACACAAGGACGATGGAGTGTTCAAAGCTCCAGCTCCTCCTCCCAAAGTCATCAAGTCCGTCACTATCCCCACAGAACCTTACCAGGACATGGTCACTGCACTTAAATGTAGGAAAGAACACAAGGAGGTGAGTGCAAACACTTGACAACCCTGTCTGATTTGACACAATGTAGAACCTTGCTGCATGCTGCTTCCTTTAATTCAACAAGTGGCATTTAGTTATCATTATCTCTTGAAAATAATTTTTTTTCTCAGTTCTGAAATATAATAATTGAGTAAAGAGACTGCTTACTTAAGAGATTTGTAATGCACTAGACATTTGAATATTTGGCAACTTTATAATGAAGGCCCGAGCAGGAGCCAATTAAATTTGAAAGTCAGTGGCATGGAACCAATGATAAAGGCATAAAGCTCAATCTTAATATGCATACAAAGTAGTGCAGCTGTTTTTCAAAGAATTTTGAATTTGAAAGTCTCAGTGGCAGCATATTGAAAACCCTGGGATAATTAGGATTGTTATAGTAATGCAAAAAAAGACCCGTTGATAGGGTCCAGAAATCACTGATGTTCTTTGGAGTAATTCTTATTGTGGGTGTTAAACCGTTGTTCAGGTCCACCTACGTACAACCTTCACCTCTTACTCTGCCCTCTGAATCGGTTTTCATCTAAGCTACAAGCTGTAATGTATATGTATATATTTATTTATTTATAAATTGAAAATCAGCAAACACTGTGGAACCAGATAAATAGGCTATAGAATGTTTATTAGCAAAACGAACACGAAAGTTACAGCTTGATGTAAAATAAATAAATTACACCGTTTAAATAAAGTAAAAATCAGCAAACACGTTTAATAAATGCTGAAGAACTATTGTTCATTCTTAGTTCATTATCTAAAGTAGTGTTAACTAATGTTAACTAATGAACCTTATTGTGAAGTGTTACCAATATTAATATAAATTCTGTCCGTTTTCATTGTTACTTTCAGTAAAAGTGTGGTTATTTTATTGGCTTGTGTTTTTTTTTTTAATTTAGTTAAAATTGTTAAAATTAAAATTTAGTTAAATTTAAGAAGTCTTACAAAATTACTTTATATTATTTAATAAAATAATAAATAATAATTACAAAGCAGTTTCGGTTTTCGGCCAAGTGCATCCAGAATTTTCGGTTTCCGTTTCGACCCAGAATTTTCATTTCAGTGCATCCCTAGATGTAAGACTACATGTTTTATTTAATTTACATTTAACAGTAATTTACTTTCAAATGCCTCAATTGCTGAAGTGTCTGCAATACCTTTTATTACAATTTCAAGTTGCATTTTTCAAAATACCTGTTTTAGCACAGCAGTGCATACCTGTTTACATTTAATTAAGGTGGACTAGATTAGACTGTAATACAAATAGTTGAGTTTGCCAGGTGCATACAACATTTATGACAGGTTTTCATGAAAGTGTTGGTCAGTTTGTCTGCTTGACAATCCCATTTTGCACTGCAACAATAAAACAGAAGTGAGATAAACAAACTGAGAAATGTTTCTTTTTAGTTAAAACAGATTTTGTCAAAGTTTTCCGTTGGGGACATAATTTGAAGTTGGAAAATGGTAATAAATTGCAATATATCGCAATATATTTAAAATCACAATAATATTGTATTGTGACACAAGTATCATGATAATATTGTATCGTGAGGCCTCTGGTGATTCCCACCCCTAGTAAACTGGGCAGCCTAGGTGTAGTATTTTCAGATGTGAAGCAAGTTACATGTTAATGAAAGATTCTGGAAAAAAAATAGCTTTTTTTTCTTCTTCTTCGTAATAGCTGACCCTGATAAATCATTCACCATTAAACCAGGAATGTGTATTAAAGTAAATGGTGAATTTTGATTTGCATGTTTTGTGCAAACACAGTCCCATTATGCACTTCTCTTTCAACTAGCAACCTCTCCCTCCCACATCTCTCTACATGTGCCATCCAAACACAATCAATCCCATACAACTTAGCCAGCCTGCATCTGTTACCACCAGTGAAGCACACTGTAATATGCGCACTGACAGATGTGCTTACACTTCACTTGAACTGTTTGTATGCATTCTCATTAGTGCAGCACCTCTGTTTCTACTGTACAGTTTTGAAAAAAAAAATCATTATTCATTCAAGTATGTGGTGCATGGCCATCTTAGGAGTGTTTTATTTAGCAGCATTGCTGCTCGTTGTGGATTTGGCCTTTTAGTAGTTGCTGCATGAGGAATCTATAATGTTCTGTAGCACTATCTTTAGCCATCATGTTGCATAACCAGCAGTGGCTCGGTTGTTGGCAGCTCAGGGTGTATGTGAATCAGCCCTGCAGTGCTTCCAGACATGTTATGGTTTAATTCAGAGTCGTCGTTCTCTCACAGGCCGCTTCATCGGGAGGCAGTAAAGAGTCGAACACACACAAGGACGATGGAGTGTTCAAAGCTCCAGCTCCTCCTCCCAAAGTCATCAAGTCCGTCACTATCCCCACAGAACCTTACCAGGACATGGTCACTGCACTTAAATGTAGGAAAGAACACAAGGAGGTGAGTGCAAACACTTGACAACCCTGTCTGATTTGACACAATGTAGAACCTTGCTGCATGCTGCTTCCTTTAATTCAACAAGTGGCATTTAGTTATCATTATCTCTTGAAAATAATTTTTTTTCTCAGTTCTGAAATATAATAATTGAGTAAAGAGACTGCTTACTTAAGAGATTTGTAATGCACTAGACATTTGAATATTTGGCAACTTTATAATGAAGGCCCGAGCAGGAGCCAATTAAATTTGAAAGTCAGTGGCATGGAACCAATGATAAAGGCATAAAGCTCAATCTTAATATGCATACAAAGTAGTGCAGCTGTTTTTCAAAGAATTTTGAATTTGAAAGTCTCAGTGGCAGCATATTGAAAACCCTGGGATAATTAGGATTGTTATAGTAATGCAAAAAAAGACCCGTTGATAGGGTCCAGAAATCACTGATGTTCTTTGGAGTAATTCTTATTGTGGGTGTTAAACCGTTGTTCAGGTCCACCTACGTACAACCTTCACCTCTTACTCTGCCCTCTGAATCGGTTTTCATCTAAGCTACAAGCTGTAAACTGTTTGGATTGTTTCCTTACCACTATTATATTTTTTATAACTCTGTTTCTTGGTCTTTATATTAGCTTGTATGCCTACATTATCAGTGAATAATGAAGCATAACATGCAATACTTTGCTGGCCTAGTGTACATTTCTTTGTGTGCACCATGTGGAACGAAACTTAATCTGCTCAAGACAGCTGATTTTTAAATAATTATTATTTTTAATATGACTGTAATTAGAGTAGCTATTGTTGTAGTCTGTACTGATACCAGTAAAATTGTACAATTCTCAGTACCGATTTCGGTATCCTTACAAAAACGGTTTGAAAAAATAGATTTTATCTATTAAATTAAATGAGTTAATAAGTAGAGTAATAATAAGTAAATAATACTTTAACATAATGTAGTTTTCTAATATTTATAAGAAAGAAATGTTACATGTAATAGAATAAGTGACAGGTCTGTTAGTTTCCATTTACACTCCAAGACTTTTGACATGCAGATTTTCTTTTTTTAATCCTGCCTGTTTGTGATGATTATCACTGTCAGTCATCAAAGTTTCAAATTCCATCCAGCGTTAAAATTGGTTGTCAATCCAGAAACAGTGCTGTGTGCTTAGCAGCATGAAACACATCCAAATTGTGAATATTTATATACTGAAAGTGAGTGAGTGAGTGTTCCCTTTATAATCACTGAAGCTGTCAATTACTTTAGTTTAAGTCTACATGTGTATATCAAATGTAGTCAATGAATGGTATTTCTTTTTATATACCCATATACTCTAAGAATGCCAAAACTTTCATCAAAGAATATTTCTGTCATGAGATTAAGCGATAGCTTTCTCTTTCTCAACAGTTGTACACCGTTGTCCAGCACGTGAAGCACTTCAATGATGTGGTGGAGTTTGGCGAGAATCAGGAGTTCACAGATGACTTTGAGTATCTTGCCACTGGTCTGAAGACTGGTCAACCACTTAACACACGCTGCCTTAGGTGCAGAAAACATTCCATCAGTCTATATTCTGACAATTCTTCAATATTTAAGCTATGACCCTGGGCTGCACAATTAATCAAATTTGTAATCGCGATTACAATTACGGATGCCACAATTACGTAATTGTTCAAAGCGGCAATTAATCGTTCAAAGTCCACTCATGTTGTTCTGAGTGCTTAAGATGTGTTTTTTTCTTTCTACAGGTTATTTCAAGGGTTTTTCTATTGTTTTAATTTTAGTTTTATAATTGTAGTGTTATAATTTTTATAACATTATAATACCATGCGTATTTTAAGAAACCAAATTCATTGAATAGTTGACTATAAAATACTATAATAAAAGCAAGCAAAGTTTTCAACTTGTTTATTTTCATATAAATATATTGCATGCAGTTGCTTCAAATGTATGGTATAAACATCATTCAATGTAAATTGTGATAATTGTAATTGATAATCGCAATTACAATTTCAAGGGAATAATCGACAATTATGATTTGTCGTAATCGTGCAGCCCTACTATTTGCGAAAGTGTTTGCTTATTATAATCCTGTTGCATTTGTGTGCAGTGTTATTAGTTTGGCCACACGGTGCGCCATGCCCAGTTTCAGGATGCACCTGAGGGCTCGTGGGAAAGTGGCTCAGGTCTTTAAAACTCTCAGTGATGCACCTCAACATCCAGTAAGTCAAAATACGTTTTGAGTCTTCTAAAACCTGTCTGATGTCTCATGTCTAATCAATTCTACTTTCCTGTCCTTGCCCCTTCCTCAGAATCTAGCTCTATGTACGGCCTCTCTGATGTACATCCTCAGCCGAGACCGCTTGAACATGGACCTGGATCGGGCCAGTCTGGATCTAATGATTCGTTTACTGGAATTAGAACAGGACAAATCCATTGCTGATCAGCTAACGACAAAAGAGATGAACAAAGTAAAAGAAAAGATTCGCAAACTCTGCGAAACGGTCCATAATAAGCATCTCGACTTGGAGAATATCACGGTAAGCTTGAGATCAGCTGTGCTTGTTTATTGGCCGGTATTTCTTGATGCAGTGCAGTTCTGTTTGTTTACATCTGCAAAATTTCCTGTCAAGGACTTGCACTTTTTTATGATTCTGCTTGTCTGATAGACCATGTGGATGAGGGATTGTGTTCATTTGGGGTTTTTCAGACAGGTTCAGCTTCTGCTCCCCCTAGTGGATACTCTTCATTGCTTGTGTTGCACATTCTTAGGATGTTTTCAAAAATGTATCAGTCATACACAGCTAGTCTCTGTGTTAAAGAATAGATCATCCCAAAATTACAATATATTCTGTAATTTACACACCCCCATGTCATACCAAACCCTTATGACAGGGCTCCAGACTACGTCTAAAACGGTCGCATTTGCGACCAAAATTAATTTGCGAGTGAAGTTTTTGCTGAGGTCGCCACTAGGCCTGTCACGATAACAACTTTTTGTTGTGCGATATATTGCCACCAGAAATAATTGCCATAAGCGATATTGCCATTCTAAAGACCATTTTATGCCACTGAATATATAATCATAATGTGACAGCATAATAATGCAAGAAGGCCTACACACTTCCAAATGACAACAAACTTTTAATTTTTAAGAATATTTAGATCATGGAAATCAAGTGTCAGAATATTAGATGCCTTAAAAAAACCTGAATAAATAGTAAATAAACATCATCTAACACAAAGTGCTAAGTAACAAGTAGAAAAAAAGAAAAATGCACAAAGATCTTGTATGGAGATTTTTCCATCTACAGATTTTTCCCTGACCTTCTTTTCTCTGTAAATTAAGGGTGCACACTATTGCTGAAAAACACAATCACTACTTAGCAGTCAGATGTCCGTATGCACAAAGGCACAGATCCCTAAACAAGACCATGGGCCCGTTCTTCGTACATCGCTAACTCAGTTAGCTGGATTTGATTGTAGACGATTTGACATGATCTTGGATTGTTTGGTTCTTCAAAGCTGATCCCGGAGTTGCTGTCATAGCAACAGGTCCGTAAGCTTAAACCTGCTCAGGAGCAGGCTTATTTCATGTAAACCGGATTAGATAGCATCTTTTTAAGCAGAATTTATACTTAAAATCTCTCCCAGCTGCCGCTACTTTATTACAAGAGTATCCTACTGATCCAGGGACAATAATTTTAAATAATAATCATTTAAAAATTAATTTAAAGACAATATAATATTGTTGTGTAGACTTTAATACTATATAGACAGCCAGATTTACTCCCTGAAAGATTTATTGGTCATAAAATAATTACTTCATAATTGTATTAGAGTCTTACACACATGCTATACAGATAATGTAGAGTCATGCATTAATTTGAGTGGTGACCGCTATTATGGGAATGGCTTGATGGAGCACAGCAGATGCAGATAACTTGATCTTGACCCTTAAGAAACTTTAATTAATGCCGCCGTCATGTAACAAATCTGTTCAAAATTAAAATTAAATGAATCAAAAAATTGCTAATTACTACATTGAAATAAAAATGTAAAGACTGTACAAATATTAGAAATCGTGAATATAAATAATTGGGAATCATGTAAAAAATTTAAATAAAATATAAACAGTGCACTTTTCATTTATCTATTATAACATTTATGTAGTTTTGTTCGCTTGGCTGTTTATCGATACACGGACGCCAAGTATCGATCTTTTATGATCGCCAAATGATTTCTGTTGTTTCTAAGGTCTTACAACTAGGGGTCGACCGATATGTGTTTTTCAAGGCCGATGCTGATACCGATTATTACAGATCAAGTAGACCGATAACCGATATTTTGAACTGATGTCTGGTGTGAAAATGAATGTCAAAATTAAGAATAACATGGGCTCTGGCAAAAACTGCCTTCCCTGGTGTTGGTTGAGTGTAGTACTTCCACAGTAAACTCTTTATTTTAAAGAGTTAAACTCTTTATTTTTATTTTATTTTTTTTTAAACATGGAAGAAATAGCGTATTGTGTGATTATTCTTTTAAACAAAAGTTGTAATAATTGTTGTAGTAGTTACATTTTTCCTCGGCCAAACCCCATTCCTCAGCCATACCTGTCACACACACCCAGTTTAAGAGCAGTGTTTTTCTTCTTGTAATCAAGAGCGCTTGTCCTCCTAATTAATAAAAAATAAGGAGCACCTTCTGATCAATAATCAAAAATTCTGATCAAAAATTTGCCTTCCCAATATGAGGTGAAGTGATTTACAGGGGCGTTTTCTTTTTACCTTGGCAATGGCATCATTTTCATCTGTAAAATGTTTGGTTCTTCAAAGCTGATCCCGGAGTTGCTGTCATAGCAACAGGTCCGTAAGCTTAAACCTGCTCAGGAGCAGGCTTATTTCATGTAAACCGGATTAGATAGCATCTTTTTAAGCAGAATTTATACTTAAAATCTCTCCCAGCTGCCGCTACTTTATTACAAGAGTATCCTACTGATCCAGGGACAATAATTTTAAATAATAATCATTTAAAAATTAATTTAAAGACAATATAATATTGTTGTGTAGACTTTAATACTATATAGACAGCCAGATTTACTCCCTGAAAGATTTATTGGTCATAAAATAATTACTTCATAATTGTATTAGAGTCTTACACACATGCTATACAGATAATGTAGAGTCATGCATTAATTTGAGTGGTGACCGCTATTATGGGAATGGCTTGATGGAGCACAGCAGATGCAGATAACTTGATCTTGACCCTTAAGAAACTTTAATTAATGCCGCCGTCATGTAACAAATCTGTTCAAAATTAAAATTAAATGAATCAAAAAATTGCTAATTACTACATTGAAATAAAAATGTAAAGACTGTACAAATATTAGAAATCGTGAATATAAATAATTGGGAATCATGTAAAAAATTTAAATAAAATATAAACAGTGCACTTTTCATTTATCTATTATAACATTTATGTAGTTTTGTTCGCTTGGCTGTTTATCGATACACGGACGCCAAGTATCGATCTTTTATGATCGCCAAATGATTTCTGTTGTTTCTAAGGTCTTACAACTAGGGGTCGACCGATATGTGTTTTTCAAGGCCGATGCTGATACCGATTATTACAGATCAAGTAGACCGATAACCGATATTTTGAACTGATGTCTGGTGTGAAAATGAATGTCAAAATTAAGAATAACATGGGCTCTGGCAAAAACTGCCTTCCCTGGTGTTGGTTGAGTGTAGTACTTCCACAGTAAACTCTTTATTTTAAAGAGTTAAACTCTTTATTTTTATTTTATTTTTTTTTAAACATGGAAGAAATAGCGTATTGTGTGATTATTCTTTTAAACAAAAGTTGTAATAATTGTTGTAGTAGTTACATTTTTCCTCGGCCAAACCCCATTCCTCAGCCATACCTGTCACACAC